TTAAACCGCTACAAATAGGAAAATTTCGCGGAAAGCCCAAAGCAATTTTTAATTTTAATTCAAGTAATTTTTGACTAAGTGCTCGACCAACCCAAATCTAATACCCCTTGACAGCGTGATTCAACGCTCCAGGGGGGCCCTAATCTTACCACCACCAAGGGGAGGCCACATGGCGTGAACCCGAGATAAATAGAGCACAACCTTTAACAGTTGCCACTCGGGTTGTATGCCTTCACTGAGGCCGTCGGCAACAGAACATTTTGACAAGTGGACTGTTGACGGCTTAAGGCTCAGTGGAGGCGGCCGTGGTGGGAACTAAGGCGGCAGCTAGACAGGGCCGCCTCCATCAAATGGGGAACAGTGGTACACCAGTCGCGGCCACTCAGCTAACGGAAGTGAGAAGGGTCCAGCGGACCGATGAGTGGCCGTGAAGTTCCTCTCCACACGCTGAGGGGGGTGATGACACCCCCGCCCCTGGGGGAATTACCCCCCGACTGGTCGGGGGAGGGACTCCTTTCAAACTTAGGGGCCTGGTGGCTGGCCGGCGGGCGCCGAGAGTCACCCTGCAGAGGGCGTGGCTGAGCGCCCCCGCCCGTGGGGGTCGAGGGCCTGGCAGAGCCCCGAGAGGAGATGCCGTTCGCACCCAGGCACAAAACGGCATGGTGATTGCCCTGGCAATGCAGACAGGGCCGTCGATGCGGACAGTCTCGCTGGAGGTGCCCTCCCAGACATGACCAGCACCAGCGGCGCTCCTTGGCGATAGTTCGCCTCGCTGGAACCGGCTTACCTAATAATTTCGGGCACAACGTTACCCGGTGATCAGATGCTCGACAATAGGAGCAGGGGGGGGTTGACGACGACTTGCCTGGAGGATTCAGCCTCTCACTGGGCACGGCTCGTAAGTCGTCAACGGTGCCCGCCGCGCTCTCTATCTGCCGGCACTGCTCCTCCAAAAACCGCAGCAGGTCATAGAAGGGCGGAATATAGGAGGCCTCGTCCCCGCCGTACCTCTCCTCAAAATGGATTCGCAGGTCGAGAGGTAGACGGGACAGCACGATGCGGAGCAACAAAAAAGCCCATTCGCCCACTGGTAAACCCAGCCGCCTCAATGTATTACAGGCCACCAAGACTGTATCCAACAGGTCCGGACGCAGTCTGGCCCGGTCACTAAGCAGCGGGAGGCTTAGAAGCTGCTTAACATGCTCGTCTGCAATTCGCCGGATGTTGGCGTATCTTCTGGCTAGGAGGTCCCGAGCAGTCTGGTAGGCGTCGTCCGACAATTTCAAGTGGCCGACGACGCCCAGGGCCTCCCCCTCCAGTGAGGCCAGGAGGTACGCCATCTTTTGTCTCGGGGTCAAGTCACTCCGGGCGTCCACTAGGCTGTCGAAAAGACTAACGAAGGTCAGCCATTCGGAAAGGACCCCGGAGAACTTTGGCAGGTCCAGAGTTGGGAGTCGTCCCAACAGCTCCGGCTGAAGCTGCTTCAGAGAGGACTCGGGCAGGTTACTCATCCGAGCTTCACGCGCCTCCTCGGCATACCTGCCTTCAGCCTCGATCAACTCGTCCGTGAGCCACAAGAACTGCTCATAGTCCGCAAAGCAAGAGTCCAGGACTCCCTTCTCCACATCCGAATCCTCGAGCTCAGCGTAAGCCTCCTCCACTGCGGCCCTTCGAGCATCCACCTGCTCGAACCGCTTCATCAAGTTATGGACCCTATCCGGTCGACCTATCAAAGCATGGGCGCTTGTGGCCCAGCGCAACTCAGTCCGCAGACAACAGATCAGTAGCTTAGGCGATGTCATCACTATTAAATACAAATTACGACGCGGCTTGAGCACAGATTATAAAGATAACAAACAAAAAATACAACAAAAATTAACAGTTAATAAATGCAGTTCCTATCAAATCGCGTTGAATAGAAATTACACAAATACGAATTACTACGTATCAACCAAATACAAGTTAGCTCAAAAGAAAAGACACAATCAAATTAACAAATAACAAATACTAGTGCGATGAAATCAAGTTAAATTCAAAGTACGCAAATACAATTACTACTCTTTAGTTCAAATACAAATTACAGTATAAACGAAGATACACATCACGGTCGATCAACAAAAATGCCTAGCTCGGAAATCGAACCTTCGATAAGTAATCCACTACAACTATCCGACAACGATAATTAACTGATTACGTAAAAATAACCATCTACCTACATGACGTATATCTCTAGAAAAACTCCCGCTTGCACAACCTAGGGCGCGACTTTTCAAATTACCCTCTAACCAAAAAAAAAGGCAAGCAACAAAGCAACAAAGGAAAATAATTCTATTATTACGTACAAAAAAATATTTTTACGTATTACGGACGGGCGTGATTGTAGATGCAAATTAAACCAATCACGCCAACGCTCCCTGCCACCAAAATTGTTTAATGTTTATCAAACACTATAGTCGGGATCGACCGGGAATCGAACCCGGAATCGCGCTCTGCTACCAGATTGTTACGGCCTACGGCTGCTCTCTTAAAGGATCAGACCTTCAGGGGCCCATGAGCTGAAGACCTCTCGAGCAGACGTAGGTCGGGCCTCCTAAGGCCACGTGGAATCTCTCTAATTACACTAAAATATATGGGGGAGCGTTATACTACGGCCAGTCGACCGGAAGGAATTTGGCGGAGTTCACTTACCTCGATCCAAGACGACTGGTCCCTCCGGAGTCGGTCAGGTCGCATGTAGTTGTGTAGTGCAAGGGAAAGAATGGTGATGTGGTGTGTATCTGGGTGTGACTGATGGTGATTAAACCTGGACCTTAGCCGTCGGCAGCAGCCCGAGCGTCGACACCGCTCCAATTTGAGGGGGCCTTTCGAGGTTATCCACAGTCACTTTCTTGGTTCACCACGATGACAGTCACTTAACTCTATCGTACTATTAACTAGCTTACAGAAGCCACTAACTATCGCGGGGTATAAGGTTACCGCACAAAACACGCCCGGAGTTTCTGGGTCAAAGGTCATAGACGCCCTAACTATTCCGCGGTTCCCGCACAAAATTAACAGCGTGCAAACATTAGCACATCTGGCAGATGACTGACTCGCTTGCGACCCGCGCGCCACCGCCACGCTCGGAAGAACCTCAGACCGGAACCGCGCCGAGCCGAGTGACATCTGGTGTCGATTCCGACAACAGAGTTTTGCGCGAACAGTTACTGTCATTCATAGGGGGGTATTTGCCATAGTTGCCACGCTTGGCGAGCGGGTTGGCAACCGCAGTTTTTTTATTGTTAGTTTGTTGTTATCAAGAAGATGCTGCTGCCCATCTCCTGCCTGTTTCCCTTTGTCGCCTTTTACGACTCTCACAGGAAGATATGGGGTAGTGAATATTCTTAACCGCCACTACACGGCAAACTTTTTTACGACGGCTCTACCACTGTTAAATGAATTTATCTATAGCTTTTGAGCTTGTAAATTATGTCAGTAGCTATATGATGTGACTAATGTATCCAGGGAGATTATATCGTTATTACAGTACTGGTACGGGCACCAGAAAAATGTTGTGAAATGGAATGGCTCTTATTCTGAAGTATATGGGTTACAATGTGGCGAGAGGAAGGGTGGTTTAAGCTCTCAAAGACTATTTAACCTCTATGTAAACCAGCTGAGCAGCTGGGTCGACTCAACAGTGCCAACGTTGGCTGTTGCGTAGATGGTGTTTGTGTGAATAATATCAGTTACGCTGATGACATGGTGCTGTTGAGTCCATCTCTTATATGATTACACGACTTTTGCATATTTGTGAGAGCCACGCAGCGGCTCACGGGCTTAAGTACAGCACAAGTAAAAGTGAGTGGATTCTATTTAAGTTTGATTCAATTAACTACTCGTACATTAAAGAAACCTTTAAAGCGGCTTGATAGTTTTAAGTACCTGTGCCACTGGGTTAAATTTGATTTGAAAGATGAGGTGGACATGGAGCCACCTGGTGGCTCAGGACCGTGCTTTGTGGCATTCCTTGGGGGCGGCCTATGTTCAGCAGTGGACTTGTGAAGGGCTGTAATAATGTGGACATGGAGAGGGAGAGTAGATCGTTGGCGGTTCGTTGTAATATGCTGGACTCGCAGGTTTGCGCATTGTAGTAGGCAGTTTAAAGTAACGCTTTTTGTCAATCGTTCTACTGTTGCAGTCTGTAGGTTATCTCTACCCAGCGATCTACGTGTCCCATACAACAAAGCCTTGAGGGTACTGTTGTGACTGCCATGGCGATGCAGCGCCTCAGACTAGTTTGCTGAAACTCGTATTGACGGCTTTGCCGCCATAGTTAGGTAGCGGTGTGCCTCCGCGCGAACCCATTTGCGGAACAGCACCAACAGTATCCTTGGGGTATTCGTTCATCGGTGAGATTTGCCACTTCAACAAGCGTGGGTGCGGATCCACACAGCAGCATAACAGTGTATATGTTATTGTGTGGATCTATCCCACAATTGTCTGCTGACAACCCCGAAGATATGAGGAGAACCAGAACCAATAATGAAGAGAAACACAGGTGACAAAGTATACACACACTACATATAGTACATATAGTTTATACATAAAGAGGTAGGTAATAATATGATTATAAAACGTGACCAAAACAATTAGGCTAAGAATTAAACATGACAGCTAAGATGATGTTAGAACTACAGGGAGGGAACATCGGAATGTTTGCTCGGTAGAGAGTAATTGTATTCTGTGGTTTTGGCCAAGTTGTACCAGATGTTTGGCCTAAAGGTCTAGATGCCAGGCCATAAACTCCAAAAAAAAATGTACCAGATGTTACAGAAAAAGTAAAATGTCTATTGATAATTTCACAGAATAACATTTTATTTTGACATTTTCTTTCACTGAAATTCAGTGCCACACCGTGGTACAAATAAATATAATTTATCTATGTAATGGCATTTCTGTCAATGTAAAGCACAAAATTTAGGAATGCAGGGAAAATATTTATAACGACAACGACGGCGATGTCACTTATAAAACTTTTCAAAGGACCTAGCAAAATATTCAAGAAAGATGTTATTACATTTTTGATGATTCGCCGTCACGATTTGGGGAGTAAGCTTAAACTCATTATCGCATAGTATTGGTCGTCGCCGCTGGTGACTAGCGTACCTAAATAGTTTTTAATTCACACCGATATAAAAACCTTTCTTGACTTATCCCAATAAATATAGACTTCCCCCATGGAATGTCTTTTTAAAATCCACCTAATGGTAAAGTACCTAGATGTTATAACCCATAGACACTTATATCCATCCTTGACATATTATTTATTCTGTGCCTAGACTAAGAATTTTAGTGCATGTTTTTTCATCCCTGAGATATACGATGATGATGATGATGATGATGACGCAAAAGCTAACCTTTTGACTACGTCGTTGCAGGGAAACAAATGTGTCGGCTCGACCGAATTAGGACCGCAATCTCACAGAATACCAGCGTAAAAAAGCAGCTTAATGCTGCAGTGTTCGTATGGTGAGTGAAGAGAACCGGACACTTTTTGCTGAAAACGAAGCACTCTATCTTAGTCCTCAAGGGTGACAACGAATCTGCATTTTGACTTTTAATTGAGGATAAATGTAGATGTCTATGGGCCACACCATCCGCTTATCATAAAGTAGACAATGCTCGTTTGTCACCCGTATTCTATAAAAAAAGGCCACCGATTCGAATCACGCACATAGCACGTGTTTATATGGGTTACACATAATTGTTCCAGGTCTGTGTGTTTATCCATGTACAATTTATGTATGTAAACTGCTACCTGCTACCATACCTTGTTATTTCTTAATCGAGCCGACATATTCTTACTGCAGCCATAAATAACTGCACGCTGCAGCATGACTTCACTACGTAAAGTTGTGAGAGTTCGTCGACTCTTCATTAGGTCGTCTCCCAAACCAGTGGAGAATAGCTTTAAAATTGTGCTTTACACGAAGAAGTCTTAATTTTATAAACTTATCCACACAAGTGAAAATGGAAGTGGTGACTTCATCGTCATTTTCTTTATAGTATTATAGCTAAGTCTCACTTTTAAACACATTGCAAGTTAACAATCAATTTAATTTATACAAGGTTATAGCTCGATGTCTTACGCAATAATAAGTTTACATATTAAAACTAACCTATACACATAAATATAGACTTAAAAAATAAACATTTAAAATTAACAAATTAACTAATAATACTAATGTGAGGCAACGGGAACAGGCTTAGTATTCGCTGGGTATCAAGCTAAGCATGGGTTTTCAGCCAGTCCCTGATATTTTGGATGTATTTGGTCGGACGCACATCGTACTTAATTACGTATTAGTGGTATCTAAGCCTCATTACATTTTATGTGTTAAATAAAAAGACGTAAATATCTGTATATAAATATGCAGATATTCGGCCTAAAAGCCTTTTTTTATGTAATAACTCTTTTTTTAATGTTGCATAATTCATTTTAAAAATTTCTTTTAAGGGCGGTGGCGAATCAATCCATATTTTTGCGGCCGTATATTTAAAACATCTCGTGAAATTAATTTTATGGCATGGAATATTCAACATGTTTTAGGCTTACTAACTTACTTCATAAATACACGTGAGAGCCTAAAACATGTTGAATTCTTACTCCAATTTAACTTAATAAAGTGGATTTTTGTTACTAATAATTTTGCGAACTAAGCAAACCAAGTGGAGCTTCCTGCATGTGTCCATTTTTAAAATATTATATTCATTAAGATACGGAGTTATATGGCCTCTCTTTGGGACGTTAAAGCAGAAACGAGTACAAGTAATCATGGCTTTTGATCGCGTTGAATTGCTATTTTTGTCTTTTCATATAGTTGTGGGCAATGGACGGTATTGCAATAATTAAAATGTGATAATACTAACGACTCAACTAAGGTCTTCCTGATCGTCACTGTTTAGTATTTTCTTATGTTATATAGGTAATACCTTTAAACGATAAAAAGCATTACGTATGTCAATATTTACATGCTCATTAAACCGTAGTTGGATATCGAGTGTAAGACCAAGGTTATTAGCATGATCGACTGAGTACCTTTTGATTGTTGATGAGTATTTCCGGTTTCTTATTTAATGTTTTTACACTGTGTTTTATTTCTTAGCACCATATATTTTGCCCATTCAAAGATTGCCGCCAAATCTGGTCGCAAAAATGTTTTGAATGATAAATTTGAATATCGTCAGCATGCAGATATATTTTGCTATGTAGGTAATATCCGCTGTGTACAGTATAAATAGAATAGGGCTTAAGATGGATCCTTGCGAAATGTCTCTGTACGTTCTTATACTTGATTGCATTACTTCCCCTTATTCTGTGTTAATTTTAATATATTGACTTCTATTTGATAAGAATGAGTAAAACCATTTACATGTTGTTTCCAATACTCCGTTCTATGACAATTTTTCCAGAAGTATAATACAAAATATATACGTGGTAATATTACCAGAATATATACGTGATAGAGCTATGCTGCAGCTATATTAATGGTATAGTTGTATCACGAATGAGTCGGCTTGACCGGGGAAGGACCACGCTCTCACAGAATACCAGCGTAAAATAGCAGCTGAACGCCTCTGTTTTGTATGGTGAGTGTAGAGAACTGGAAACCCTTTTTACGGGAAACGAGATATTCCATTTTAGTCTTCACGGATGACCACACATCTGCATTTTGATTCGTAATCGAGGATAGATGTAGATGTCTATAGGCCACAGCAACCACTTACCATCAGGTGGACTGATGGCTTTTTTGTCACTCTTATCCTATTTTAAAAAAGTATATCATGGTTTATGTAGCCGAACACCGTAATAAAATCAAAAGTACCAGTATACTACTCTGACCTTTATCAGAAGCTGCAGTTATATCATCCGTGACGTGGAACAGCGCTGTTTCCGTATCATACCTTCGACCCCCGGAACCCGGATTGTACTTCTGGTAAAATATGATTAGCTTCTAGATATCTCGTTAACTGTGAACATACTACCATCTCCAATATCTTGTTAAGCATTGCTAAAATGCTAATTGGTCTGTTTTAAATTCCCTGTACATTTGGACTCTTAGTTATAGGTTTAATTTTGGCTAGTTTCCAAGGATCCGGAAAAATCTTTGTATGAAATTCTTAGTAATCTTCATATTTTTATACAGGGTTAGTTTGCAATAACCGGCCAAAGGTTCAGAATAAGTAATATAGGCAAATGGTGAAGAAAACTTAATTAAAAAAATCTCAAACATTTCGTCTTTTTTATCTTTTAAATTCAGAATGCGTTATTTGAACTGATTTTACTGCGCACGCTCACATTCGTAAGGGTCGCTCAATTTTAGATAAAAGTGGAAGCCTTATTTATTCTTATTTTCGAAAACTGGAAGCTGTTATCGAGATCTATAAATCACCCGTGCAGTGCCGGGACGGAACACTAGTATCTGTTAAAAATACAGATGAATAGAATAGGATAATTTTTTATTCAATATAGATGTGTAATTCTTTTTGAACTTCATTTTTTACTTTACCACTTTACCAACTGAAAGTTATTTTTTACTTTACCACTGGTTCGAAAAGAACCTCTGTCCTGGGAAGATCCAGCACGAAACCCAGCGGGTCGATGATTATATTGCTATCTGTCTTCACAAAATCTTCTGGGTGTGGAGGTCCTGGGGCGGGATGATCCTAATGATTTTTTAAACAAGACAAAATATACTTTCAACAAACATATTATGCAGATATTATTAAATACAAGAAACATGTACACTATCTAATAAAAAAATCTTTAGGCATGTAGGAATGAAATCGTGAGGTAAAAAAAATTTGCGGTTTTTATCATTATCACTTCCAATTCTACTTAAATAAAACTTTTACCAGCTGTTTTATATCATTATAGTTTTTTTTTTACATTTTTTCAATATTATATCGTCCTCCACTAAATAAAAAGTTATATTATGGAGTCCCTGGGGCTCTAGCTTTTGTTGCGATATCCTCAATCCGGGCCTGGATATAGCAGCAGGAAATAATTTTGCAATTTGATTTCAGTCTTAGAAGAACGACTTCGTTACGTGGCTGTTAAGCCGAATGCTTCAATAATGAAGTTGAGAGAAAAAATATGGCATCTTCTAGATCTTCCGGACTATTGTGACGAAATAATAGTTCTTAAATCAAATGACGGAAATGAAATACCATTAACAGCTTTATGTTTCGGTAACGATCCGCAGCATCCTTACATTTTGGAGGTTTGGCTACCTGACAATCAGATGCTATGTTAGTAAATTTAGCACGCAGTTTAAGAACCAGTTATATTAGGAATAGTTCTTAATACTATGGCAATTTATGATTTTTATTTGACAAAAGCATTGGCCATATACATCCAGTAGAGCACAGCACTGGCCGCCTCTCATTTCTGAGGAGGGAATAGAGCAAAGGAGAGCACTAAACTGATCTGTACGTTCAAGTTGACGGACTTCACAACATATCTTTGAAAAGATAGAAATTTGTCTTCTTTTGAGATGGATTCTTTTAAGCTGCCATTACACAGCAGCAATATCAGCAGTAATTGCAGCTTAACGCTGCTGTGTTTCGTATGGTGAGTGTAGAGAACCGGAGACACTTATTACTGGAAACGAGGCATTCCATCGTAGTCCTCACGGGTGACAACTGACAACGCATCTGCATCTTAATTCGCAAATGAAGATAGATGTAGATGTCTATAGGCCACAATAACCACTTACCAACAGGTGTGCTCCTTTGTCACCCTCATTCTATAAAAAAAAATACCCTTGAGCAAATTGTACAGAAGATCGATGAGTACAATCTGCCCCATTGTCTTGCGTATGTTGACTATGAGAAAGCCTTTGATTCCGTCGAAATTTGGACGGTGCTACAGTCCCTACAACGGTACCACTTACCATCAGGTGAACTGTGTGCTCGTTAGTCACCCTTATCCTATGAAAATAAAAACACGAAAAGCAGCAGCCACCATTAGCACTTAAAATTGCAATTAATACTTTCGTTCGTCGGCATTAAAGGCGAGTGTATTAGTATAACGTTCTCATACTTCGTTTTTTTTTCCATGACAGCCTATTAAAGTTATCTATAGTTGTTGCGCTTGGCAGGCGGGTTGGCAACCACAGTTTTTATTTTCTAGTTTTTATCAGGTAGATGCTGCTGCCCATTTCCTGATTTGTTTCCCTCTGTCGCCTCTTACGACATCCATGGGACGTTATGATGTACATACAATATACTAATAGTTACTTAATAATCTGTGTCAGATACTAGTACCTATATTTTGAGGATACCTGCATGTTTAATGAATAAAATATTACGAGGAGGCAGTCTAATTAAATAAAAATTATATAAAAATATTTAAATAAAATAAAACGCGTCAGTAGCCTAATGGTAGGGCGCGGAACGCGAACTCGAAAGGTCGTGGGTTCTGATCATAAATTCTAATCCGCACTAACACAAGCATTTTAAACTTACCAGAAGTCCAGTCAAAGGGAATATTAGTAATGTTTAATAGCATTACTAGTATTTTATTTAAAAAAAGAAAACTGGTCCATAATACGCTCAGAAATGAAAGTAGACCTGTGGTCACTTGTGGGAAGTATATTAAAGCCCTACCTATACTTTAGTATCCTATTATCACAGTAAATATACTTAAATATTTTCTTTATTAATTTAAATTATTGAAGTGCTGCAAAAAGTAATGCACGCAAATAATTCGTCGTTGACGCCGCAAAGGGGCTAACCTCAATTTTTCAAAAAATTACAGTTTTTTTTCATCATAAAATTAAATATATTATACTTAATGGAAAACTACAAATAAGATTAATTTTCTGATAAAAAAGCTAGTAATTGGGGAATAATAAATGTTTTCTTGCTCTCCTGTAATTTTTTGAAAAAATTGAGGTTCGTCTCTGTGGTGTTAGCGAGGAATTGTAGGTATACCGAATCGTAGCTACCACATTCCTTATTGATGACGTAATGGAAGAAAGCTGGTAAGACCAGTACTTACTCATATTATTAACACAGTACACGTCACCTAGTCGTTTACAATGCCGAACCATGTGTGCCTTTTAAATTTCTTTTACCAACATGTAACGGAGACCCACAATCACACTGATAGAAAATTCTTAAAATTGCAGCTCTTTATAAACTCGTAGAGTTTAATAAATACTTTTTTGTTAATTATTTACAAATAAAATATGCTAAGGAGTAATGCCGTTTAAAAAAATTAGGAATTCTTAAAAAAAAAATTCCTACCTATGGAGGCTATAACGTACTAGTGTAAGTAAAAATTACATGCAAGTTTTTTCACGATCAAACACTTTGCAAATTAAGAATTTAATTGTACTGAATAACAAATAACGATTCCAGTGGTGCCAATATTGTGAATCGAACTCGGGTTTTATAATACCAAGGCGAGCAATCAGATGTACCTACTAGCTTGCTACATATATATTTATCTATGGTACCTACTACACACTGGATACTTTTTAAATGAGGCTAACCTTCACTGAGCTCCCTAATTTGAACGAAATTTTATTATATTTAACTGTGTAAATGTACTATTGCAGCTTCGTTAGCAATTAACAATAATAACATGTTAACTATGGGTGACAATGAATCGCTCTCAGACGGTAATCGTATCTCAGCATGTAATATAAGAGAAGATAAAACGCAAGACAATTTAGGAAAAACATGCGGTAAATATACTATTTCTATACTATTCGCTATTATTTATACCTACTCAATATTTAACATGTATACTATCGTTATCACGACCGCATGTCGTGGTTCCGAATCCGATTTAGCTGAAATCAACATTAAAAAAAAACAATTTCGGGTTTGTATTATAATTGTCGTCCGTGCCTCTAGCCTGCCACCGGTCTTATTGCTTAAAGGATATAATTATGTAATTGGGGTACCAACTCTATATTATGACGAGTGCCTGTACGAGAACTCTTGTTAAGCTGTTTTATAACCCACGGAGTTGATAGCTTACAATAATATTGGGAATCGGAAGTCACCTCGCTAATAAAGCCTTGATCCTTGCTATTTAGACGCGATATTCAACTTTACATTTCAAATTCCTGCCAGCCTTGCCAGATTAATACCAATTGTAATCATCTTGGTATTAATATGGAAAAATTGACATATAATATAAAACACTTCCGGTAATGTTATTTGCTTATTTATTTAACCGACTACGACATATTCCGTATTCCAAAGGATAATCCCAAAATTAATCGTAAAATTTAAATGTTTGCCAAAATAGTTCCTGGACTTTGGATTGTGTAGCATTTGGCAGTGCGTGCGGATTAGTAGCGAGTTCGTAATACCTACATTTTGAGCGGCTGCTACTCAAGAACTCAAGATACAGTTGTCATAGATAATGTGATATTTTTAGTGACTGCTCGTCTAAGTGTAGTGGTCGTGAGTGCAGCTGCTGATCAGGTGGTCCCGGCTTCGAATCACGTGTCAAAATCAGTTATTTGGTATTTCTTTCGAGAAATAGGTACTCAGCCCAAGGTCAAAAAATTAGCGGTGTTTTATCCACAGCCTCAGAAAATACGTGAAACAAATAAACTAATAAAATAATTTAAGGCTTCACAAACAATTCTCTTTTATGAGTTTTGAACGCATCTATAAGATGAACGGAATTTACTTATTTTGTATTAAAATAAAATATTTTCATGCAAAACAAAGCAAATATCTGCACCGAAATTAAACGCGTGAGAGATCATCTATTTATCTACTATTTTTTATGAAAACAATCAAACGAATGGGGAAACGCCACCAAAGCCACAAATCACACAGAAGTTATGCCCTTCGAGCTGGAATAGCAATGGACGCTATTGCTTGGTAGCATAAATCGCTTGAGTGTTGCCCGCCCCGACGAACTCTTAGGCAAATAAGGAACCATTTATTACTTACCATACGGCTAATCCATGCCACATGCTATTTTTTTATTTGTAAAGTATAATTTGCAGTGAACTATATCACAAAGTTATGTTGCAGAAACTCAAAAAAGTGATGAAATTTCAGACTTTAATAAATCGGGAGTCGTGGAAAACAATCACCTAAAGAATTTACTACATCCAGACAATAAAAGACAAGACCTTTCACATAGAATTTCTAATACATCTCTGTTTTATAAAATGTCCGGAAGAAAAGGCGTCGACAACTTCACATGCATTTTATTAAAAATGCAAAGTGACTTGTCTACATTAAGCAATAAATTGTCAGAACTGGAAAATAAAATAAATTTTTGAGGGCATTTTTTATTTTTAATAAAACAGTTTTAAACGAAAATATGGATATATTTTTTTTACTCATTATACAATAAATATTCAAATAAATAAAAACACTATTGCAACATAGCCATTTAAATGACTATATCAAGTACATAAGTTATTAAATGAATAATATTGTACAAAATAAACATTCATAATTGAAACTACCTACATTAAAATAGAATTATTTACAATTCATGCCCAACTGTCTTTTATGATTTAATGACCATTAGCTTATTAATGGTTAACAAAGTTAACATTGTGACTAGGAATTTAGTTCCCTGTAATAACTAACATTCGTAAGTATATGTATTTTATATTCATCTTTTTCTTATATTTTATTAAATTCTTCAAAAATTTAAAGAAATATAAAACAGACTGCGCAATAAACATTTTTGGTAATCTCTGATTTTTTTCATATATTACAATATAAGTCTGTGCTTATCATATTATTATATTTAGTGCCCTTTATGTACTAACTGTACATTATAAATTTTTCTCTTAATTTCAAAAAAACGTTATAGAGATAAAGTATCAATAGTGACCATACATAATTCGCATTTAGATACTGCCTTCTAATTAGCGATGTTTCTTTCTGGAACAAAAATAAGGAATCCCTATTTTAAAAATTGTTGTGTAATTTTAGTTAGTAGTTTTTGTGGATGTCGTAAAAAGCAACTAAGAGAAATCCTATAACCTTGGAAAGGTTGTGGTATTAACGTCTCATGCAGATAAGAAGAAAGACCAGTGATAGGGAGCAGCATCAAAACTTAGAGACATGACCGGAGAGATTTGACACAGAACTTATATTCCTCAGTTTACATAGAAAAATCCAATATTTATTTTTAGCCCAACACGGGAACGCATGATCAACAGTCATGTTTACGGTCACTAGCCTTATAAGGTAGTCTCATTGAATATAAGCTTATAGTATCAGCAATCATCTATAACGTGTGAATGACAAGAAATGGAAACCCTTCTTACAGCTAATGAGGCATTCCATCTAAGTCCTCAGATGTAGCTGTCTGTGGTCTACTGTATACACTTACCATCAGGACTGGCCTGTTTATTAATTTGGCACCATTACTTGTATAACTACCTTTAAACAATGTTAGAATAGCAGTCGTGATAACTGATTTAATAATTTATTAAATAATATATAAAGTAACTTAAACTGTTATCAGATCAAGCTAATTTTTTTATAGAATCACTGTTAGATTAAAAAAATACTTTTTCAACGATCAGCAATATGGTAAACATGATCAAGCTATAACCTTGGGTATATTGTATTATAGCTTGACGGCAAAAAATGTGCCACGATCTGGGTGCATCAGATTTGGTGCAGAAAGGGAGAGCAAGAACTGGCTTTACATAAATTCAAAATACTATATACATACATAGATTGATTTACTTTTTTGAATACTCATTTGAAGTTCTCTTATTTCTATTATTTTCTTGTTAAATATTGAACCGAACCACATTCTACATTTATGTGTTATCCTCATGTCTCAGAAATCAAAGCCATATTAATTATAATTTATTTATGACACTTCATCCTTATAACAACCTTGACTCACCTTATATTCAAGCTGGTAAATACTCTTTGTGCAGCATTTAGTCATGACCATAAAGCCACACATCCTTTCCTGCATACCCAATGCATATTCAATGCTACGAATCAAATCATTTGTCTTGAGTACCAATAGTGCCTCACGGTTCACATGCTCCAAGCATTGAGTTACATGATGTAAGAAATTTGGTAGCTCATTTTGGAATGTTGATTTCTGAAAGACAACATAACAGCTATATTCTAAATGAATGTTTATTTTCAACACAATTATAATAATTGTAAAAACACAATAATACAGTTTTGTGGTCAATGCATATCTATAGATCAATTGATAGTGATAATTGTCTGTACCAAGCCAATTTTCTGGTAATATAAACAACAATTTATTAATGTAAAATGTAATTCAAACAAAATATTTATATTATTGTTTACTTGAGGAAAATGTTGGCAACCATTGCACTGTAATTTCGATCAACGGGCAAATGTTGATCTACATTTAAAATTGTTTTGAATTTGATTAATTTTTATATCATACTCAGGTCAAGTCAAGTGATGGATTAATTGGTTGAGTGCTCAATATAGTAGTAAAGTTGTATCCTAAGAAAAGGGCCAAACAATTCAATACAATTACTGGAACAAACCTCTTGTGATGAGGGCTTTGTTCTATCAATACCCTTCAGTATCACATCCCATGGTCTACCAGTTACCATGCAGGCAAATAAACCATATAAGTCTTTAGGTATGCCAAGTTCCTCTGCATGTATTTTCATCTCATCTCTATCTCTTCCTATTATTGATAACCATAATTTAGAATAATGGTAACGAAATTTCTCAGAAAGTTGCTGTAATATTAAAATATTGTTAGGTTTCACATTTACATTTTAAATTTTATTTTAAGAAGTGTAAATAAAAATTATTTAAAATAATAAATAGATTTTTTAAATAAAATACCAGTAATGCTATTAAACATTACTTGCTTACTCCCTTTAACCACTTCTGGTAAGCTTAAAATGCTTGTGTTAGAAGTGGTTCACAACAGTAGTCGAATGGAGGATTTGAACCCACGACCTTTCGAGTTCATGGTCCGCGCGCTGCCATTAGGCTACTGAGGCTTCTAGATTATTACAATTAATGCTTTCAGGGTATTGAATAAGAATTTTATGTACTAGCTGTGGTTCCCACCTGCAGAAGTGAAATTATTGATTGCTTTTAAGTGCTGATTTATGAGAATAAAATAAATACATCTAAGGAAACCAGCATGCCTAAGGAACAGAAATATTTCAAAATAATTAAAAGTTCAACATGCACTGGAGCAGCAGGTTTACTAATTGCCCCCTAACCTCTCTAGAAATAAATGAAAGCCTGTGACCAGCAAAGGGGGATGTTTATAAGCCGTATCATCATTATCATCATCATCATGACAGCCCTTCACAAGTCCACTGCTGAACATAGGCCCCCCCAAGGATTGCCTCATAGAGGAGAATTTGCTATAGTTTCCACGCTTGGTAAACGGGTTGTTCTTTTTTATAATTTTGAGTTGTTATCAAGAAGATGATGCTGCCCATCTCCTGGTTAGTTTCCCTCTATCACCTCTTACGACACCCACTGGACGATCATGAGTAGTGGATATTCTTACATTGTCACTACACTTGTTACTTTACTTTACAATTATTTATTTACTAGTAATTTTCCACATTTTATTCAAACAAAACATTTTCTGATATCTTTCTAACTTAATATTAATTTATCTTTCTATTTTTTTTTTTTTATAGGATGAGGGTGACATACGAGCACACAGTCCACCTGATGGTAAGTGGTTGCTGCGGCTCATAGACATCTACATCTATCCTCTGTTACAAATCAAAATGTAGATGCGTTGTCGCCCGTGAGGACTAAGATGGAATGCCTCATTTCCAGTAAAAAAGGGCCTCCGGCCACCTGCAGTCACCAAGCGAAATGCAGAGATAAACCTCTACTTCACGCTGGTTTTCTGTGAGGTTGTGGTACTACCCCGGTTCGAGCTGGCCCATCCGTGCGACAGCAAAAGCTGCCGTGTGGCTCTACCACTATTAAAAAAACTATTCAACCGTCAACGGTGACTACAGTCCCCAAAAAATTTATTGCCTCACCTGTCCATGGTGACTATAGTCACCAAACAACATCTTTCGGTTTAAATGTGTATAGCACAAAATATAGCTGTTATTAATAGAGTAAAAAATTATAGATGGTACTATTTGAAATTTGTCATCTGTGAGAGTGAATTTTATCTGTATAATAGTAACAAAATATTTGGAAAACCTGAGACCGCAAACGAGGATAGATGTAGATGATGTCTATGGGCCACAGCAACCACTTAATATCAGGTGGACTGTGTGCTCGCTTGTCACCCTATCCTATATAAAAAAGACTACTATATTACTACTACTTATTTATTCAAATTTATATTGGGTAAACATTATATACTTATGTATATTAAGTACATAAGATATTATACTTTTCTAGTAAAACTCGAAATAAAAAATAAATACGATTTTTTTTTGATATTCACATTTTTAAGCTTTATTTTCAGCCTTTATTTTTAATTTGAATAATTTTCTTTTAACTGAAGTAAATTTTGAATTCTTTTTTTGAGAATATTTTTATTTGAATGTAGCTATAGTAGTTTTTCCGTAGTAATCATTTTTGTTGAGTCTCGAGTGGTCGTAAAAAAATAGTGACATTTAATGTGCGGACAGGTGAGGCAAGAATCACTTGCACGAGGTGAACGGTTAAGTGATTAAGTAGCTTAGTTAATAAATTTGAGAGGTTCTGCTATCTGAAATTAATATTACATTTTTTTTAATAGGATAAGGGTGACAAATGAGCACACAGTACACCTGATGGTAAGTGTTTGCTGCGGCACATAGACGTCTACTCTATCCTCTATTACAAATCAAAATGCAGATGCGTTGTTACCCGTGAGGACTAAGATGGAATGCCTCATTTCCAGTAAAAAGGGCCTCCCCAGCCACCTGCACTCACCAAGCGAAACACAGAGGTAAACCTCTACTTCACGCTGGTATTCTGTGAGGTCGTGGTACCACCCCAGTTCGAGCCGACCCATCTGTGCGACAGCAAAAGCTGCCGTGTGGCTCTAAAACTTACTTCTTACAGTTACATTTGTCTAGACTATTATGATAATCACTATTATACAAATATTGATTATTTTCTAAACTTATTACACAGCAAGTATATTCAAATCATTTCATTAAATTTTAAAGTTTATTATAGTTTTTTTTTTTAAGATAATTTAATAAACAACTTACAGCATACAAACCATGATCCAGTAAATATACAGTAACATCTTTATCTTGAGGTTCTTTTTTTACAAGTATATTTCCTGGATGTGGATCACTATGTACAAATCCAC